GCATTTGCAGAAGGGTTTAACGGCTGTCCTAGTCTAGTGCAGCCATGCTTTGCATAAGTTTATCAGCCATCCCTAAATATGGTTTTAATTAATTTAATATGTAGTCCGGTCTAATACAGTTTCATTACCAACAGGGTTTCTAAGATCAGGGATTTTTTAATTGATCCCAAAGCTGGAGCACTTTTTAATATAGTAAATACCTGTAATAGCAAAATCAACTTCAGATCATAAAACTAAGTAAGTTTTTACTTTYAGTAAAAAAGTTTTAGTTTAGTTTCTTATAGAGGTTCTTGAATTAAGCCACTATATAAAGGCATACTATGAAAACTAATTTGTGGAATCTCATGAGTGGATGCTTTTGCTTTAACAAAATTAGTGTTACAGTTGGCTTATAATGAAACTGGCATTCTTTATGGAGAGTTATCTTTTATGTAGCTCTGWCAAAACAAAATTGGCAAACATTTGTATTTCAGAGACTGCTCGTAACAGTTCTAATTGACCACATTRTATCTGATTAGATGGTACTAACTTTGCTGTAAATCAGTCTTTAAATGTGAATTTCCTTTTACAGAGTTTAATTTCTTTAATCAAGTGCATTCTTRAAGAATTTTGCAATTAAATGTGTAAGAGGAATAAGTACTGAAGACTCTCTAGGTTCTCTTTTTTCCATTAGCTGTATAGTTTCAAGTAAGGAAAAGAGCTGATTATATCACCCTCATTGCTTTGACTGCTGCAGTCACCAGAAGGGTTCATAAGAGCTCTTTCTAATCCAGTKTAAGTGAAAACTACATTATCTTAAAAAGCTGAAGTTTTGTATCAAGCTAACTGACCACCTAGCACTTAACCTCAGCTCTGTTGGCTGAATTATGTCCTCTAGCTTGCAAAATGGTAAGCTTTTTGAAAGATAATCTCTTCTTTCAAATTTAATTGTAAGATTTAAAAATACCAGATTGTGCCCAGTGACGACTCCATGAGTGGAGATTGAATTTAGGATTGGGGAATACAGAAAGTGTAGAAGAAAAGGAATTGGAATATTAAATTGAAATCCTTCTAGGATAGTTTTAAAATTAGTTTGGACAGCAGAAAATGAAGACTAGAAATACATGGGCTAGGAAATAAAGAACCAGTGATATCAAATTAATTGATGTGATTTGGGATTGCATTTTTTTTGTCTTAAGAAGTACCCCTATACTATAAGCTCTTTCCATTTGAATTCATCATTCATTTAAGCAACTAGATTTTTGAAAATTTTCTATTTTGACTTTAGGACTTGATAAAATTGAATTTCTTCAGAGGCATGAAAACCAAGAGATCTACCAAAAGGCTTTTGAACTCATAGAACATTATTTTGGTGTTGAAGAAGAGGACTCTAATATTGCACCTCAGGTGGATGAAAGTCAGCAGCAGTTTGTGTTTCAACAGCAGGAGGCTCCAATGGAGGGGTTCCAGCTCTAAACTACTGAATGAATACAAGCATAAAATTTAAACACGCGTACGGTTTGGGTTTTTTTTTTCTCAGTGGTCTTTTCTTTATGGCCAAAGTTAGAGGAAAAGCTGAATATGTTTTGCAGAAATAGATGAAGAAGCAGCTCATGCACTTTTATATATTGTGTTAGAGACAACTGTTCTCTGTTTTGTATTTGTGTTCTKCATTATCTCTCATGTACAGAAAATAACTGTGAGTAATCATGTCTAAAAGCATTAAATGTGATTTAACAGGAACTGTTTAGCTAAGTCTTGGTAGGATTTTAGGTAGTAGTTCTGAATTTTTCATGTAGTCTCAAACTTCATATCAAGCAATACAGTTACTGACAGTTGGATTTTTGGCAGTAGGCTTGACTTGCCCAGTCTCTATCAAATCTACCTCTTGTATTGAAGCAGAAACATTGCTTCAGAACTAAGGCATGAAATAAAGATGAGCTTGTAAGAAGCTGAATTGGAATGTGAAAAATATTTATTTAAATTGTGGAACTTTTGTGCATTACTTTACAATACACTGTTGGAATTTATTTATAAAATGTATTTAAAGACAAAATAGATATACATATATAGTGCTAATTACCTAATATAATATTGAATATATTAAAAAGTTTTCTCCTAATTATGTGGGAAGAAGACTATTTCAGAGGTTTTCAAATTGGAATCAGCAGAGACCTTGCTGGTCATTTGATGTTGGCTCTGTAATGAAAGCTGCTAAATGGCATTACAAGTCAGCCACAACTGCAGTACTTTGTAGTGGAAGCAGCCACTGCAGTTACCACAAGAAAGCTGCAATTAGGAATGACAGAGGATGATTTGCAGAAATCACTGTGCTGATGTTTTACAACTGTCTTCTGTCAAGATGTGGTAATACCAGTTTAGAAACATTGCARTGTTTGCCTTTTAGTACAATAGCTTCTTAGTTTAGACAGTAGGTGTTGTTTTTTGACCAAGTATGCTACTGCCACTTAGGTTAATGAATTTGGTTTGCTTTTGGTGAGACAATAGAAATACTGCAGTGAAGAATGAACAGTGAATCACTCCAGTTGAAGGAAAAGTTTGTTGTACTGTAAATAGCATTAAGTATGTGGACACCAAAACTAACTAGAAGTTATTGTCATCTAAATATTTAGGCTCTACAATATCTAGTGTTTGCTTTTAAACACTAAAAGTAATAGAATTCTGAAATTTACGTTAACAGTTTTGAGTACAGAAAAGTGTATGCTCTGCTTTGACTTGCTTATAAGTAGTGTTTCTGGTGTAGTAGTAGTATATCTCATTTGGAGAAATTAATACTTTGGGTTAACTCTGAAATATTGCTGTTTTTTATTACCTGTAATTAATGTATTAACATCAAACTCCTGGGTTAAGTGAAATCTGTGACATATGAAAGCATTTCATGCTTCATAAAAAGCTGCAATTTTAACTTCAAATCACTTACCCATGGCACTGTGCTTGTCACTAAACAATATTTTAATGCACTGAAAAATACAGGTTAAAGGTGGTATCATTTACAGTACCATTTTATATTTAGAATTTTTTTTACATGCAAGTTAAGATTCTAAGATGTTTCACTTTGATGTTAAAGCAATATATTCTATATTGTAATTGAATGTGGGACTTGAAGTGGATTTTCTAAAATTAATGGTCAGTTTTGACTAAGATGTAACTGGGAGGGAAGCAACCTCCCTTTGAAGTCTTTTTAGTGGAAGATAGAAGTGTAAGAAGTGTATATAGGAGTGCTGTTACTTTATGAACTCTGAATAATGAGATATTTTAGCAAATGACACTTTAAACCTAGATTTGTACAGCATACAACAGTTTTGAATCGCGTGATAATATTGAGTACAGCTGCCAAATTTTCATATAATGTTATGTGATTGTACTTATGCCCTTTATACTCTCATAGTTTTAGGTTTTCATACACCAACCTTCATTCTTTCCTGTGGTCTCCCCACTCCCCATCTGTCAAAGAACAGGGTAACAGTCATGAAAATCTACCAAGATTACTAGCAAATGCTGAATTTCAGTGTTCTAGTGTAAGAAAATTATTCAGGTAACAGGGTATTCCTTTGTTTCTAACAACCTTGTTTTGATAATAACCAGCTGTGCCTGCTTTTTATTTGGAGAACCCTGTAAAACTACATTTATAAACCTCTCTTATTTAAACCAAATCTGAAGTGTGAAAATCTTAATTGAAAGACTTGAAAATGAAGAGGGGACGTTGCAAGTTTTATATTTGTTTTGAAAGAATGTCATCAGTGTGGATATATTATTCTGTCTATGTGGATGGTTAGTGACTGCACTTTATGCATTTAGACAAACTATATTTCATGCCTCTGACACATTTAAATGGAATGATTTAAAAGGGAACTAATAATAGATGGACACATGAACAATGAAAATCCTTATTTAAACTCAACATTTGGTTTACCCTGATATCRTTAAAAATTAATAATGAAAATTCTTTAAAGGATATATATACAGGATCGCCTCTCCTATTTTATCACTGGGTTTATAGCATATTTTGTTAAAAGCACATAAATGAACAAAATAAAACCAGAGATTATGACTTAAGGTCAGCTCCAGTGTACTCATTTGCAGGTTAGGGGCATGATTATGATGATGTTACCTAAACAGATGAAACCAGTATGGAGAGAAAAACAAAAGAAAACTGATATGAAAATTTCTACAAGCTTGGCATTTTATATGTAATCTGAAGTGCCCCAGCAGTTAAAAYATAGGGGTTGGGTTTAATTAAAAGGGTACCATTTGTTCTGCTTAAATGTGAATACTAACTAGCTAATCTATGCAACTATGCAGAGCATAAGATTTTTTTAATTAGTTCCCTCCTCTTGATAACACTGAATCATATCTAATTTTTTTGTCATTGCACTTTCGTCTGAGGACTGGTTCATAGAGCTTTTTAATTTTCTAGTATTTGCTTTACACACTTGCTAGCAGCAATCAGAAAATAGTAATAATGGTGACACAGACATGTTAGCTGTAGAACAAGTTTGCAACTGGAAACTATTTATTGTTGGGCCTGTCTTTAAAAAAATAGTAAAGATGCACTATTATCTTTCCTCCATGGTTAATTCTCAGTTGGTTTAAATTTATTAAATTGTACAACTGAGGGTTTTCRTAATAGGTCTGAAAATTGATGTGTGGACTTAAACTGTGACCTCAAGAATTTACTGAAATCTGGAATGACAAATTCCAGTTATGGGACAATGTCTTCATACAATGTGTGGAAACTAAATTAACTGCATTAACTTCAGATAGAAATAGTGCATCTTTAAATCCAGGCCAAAGGCCCATTGCTGTAACAGAACACATATAAGTAGTATGCAATATTATGTAATGTTTAATCTCCAAATACCATACAGAAACAAATAAAACCTATTTTACAGATGTTTATTGTATTTATTTAGTGATTCAATAAGTGTGGCTTCTTAAAGCTAAAAAATGCAAATATCATTTTGAATACAGCATTGATGCAGCTGAGTTCAACCTGGTAGATTTGTGCACTGAAAGATTATGCACTGTCACCAGATTGAAACATTTTGGGTTTAAATGTTTTGTGATTAACCAAAGATAYCTGATATTCTTGGGAAACTACCTCATCTCCTTGAAAAAAAAATTACTGCATTTAATCATATGCAAAACATTCTAACTAATTTTAATTATATGCAACAAGTACCATATCTCCCTAATAAAAGAGACCCTCCCTTTCTTTTTGTGGTGCTGTAGCTGCCACAGCGTGTGCRTATTACAGTTGTGTATTTAGGGGTGAAACTAATTCCTCTCAGCAACAGTTAATTTTGCTCCTCCGAGGACATTCAGCATTTCAGGTGAAGTTACTTTGTCTTCGACTCTGCGGCCAGTGCAGCCTCCTTCCTCCACTTGGCCTTCTTTGCCAAGTTTAAGCTTGTTAAGGACTCGTGACGTGCTGCAGCCTGAGGAATTAACAGTGTAGGAGTAAGGATGTGCCCAGGGAAAGCTACCCAACCTTGGGAATGGGCAACAACCACTTAAGTGACAGAGACTAAGTTAGCTAAAAGTTGGGCAGCTGTAAGCTGCTGCTCTTGGTTTAGGTTTGTCTTTCCACAGAATTCCATTATTAAAAGTATGCTACAATGCCATACTCACCTTCTTAGCTGAAGCAATCACTGCAAAACAGGCAATAATTGAGAGCCCAATCATGATGTAACAAGCTTTCACTCGAGCTTTGTTTCTTGCCTTGTCTAGCATCTCTGGCCTGCAATTACAGTTGTTGAATTGAGTCATTACAAAACAACAAAGTATCTCTTCAACGCGGTGCAGACACGGCATCACAATTAAAAATAAGTACAGAATTAGCTTCTGAAACAAGCATCTTCAACTTGCTGCGGTTAGTTATGTATCAGCTATTTTCTGATTCTAATCCGTTTCCCATGGAAGGGTAACATTTAATGGATTTTGACTGTTCTGGGGTTTTTTAAGTTGGAAAAAAAATTGCTCAGGCAATAAATGTTTGCATTTCAATGCTTGGGGTAAATACACTGGAAATCATGTCTTAAGGTCCAAACTTAGTGAAAATTAAGGGAGGTTATCCACTTAGAACAGATGGYGAAGTATGGTGTCAGACGAATGGAGTAAAAGTAACTCCATTTAATTCAAAATTAACTTTAGAAATCCGTTAGTGTCATATCTAACCTATTTGGATGGTGTTCTGTGGCCGAAGGACTTGGATTGTTGATTAAAAGTTTGTACTGCTACCAGTTAGAGGTTTTAGTTCTTTATTAAAGCAGCATTCTGACATAGAGTGGACAGCTGATGTCAGCCACTACACTATTACAGGAGTGCACACCTGAACAAGAGCACTACAGGATTATTTTTACTGGTTATCGTAGGCAAAAGTAGTGAAAACCACTGCCCTCTGTGTGGCAGTAAGTGGTGCAAAAGAGGTATTTCATAGCCCAGCAATCTGTCTTGGTGCTGCTCCCATTTCCTTCTTCCACTCTTCTGAGCTGGTGGCATGGCCCTGAGAACCAGCAGTACAGGAAATCATGAAAATTGTCCCAAAACATTCTTTTAATGTCCCAAAAACATTCATCTTTTTCCACATCAGACATTATACTTGGGACTACAGTTTTTAAGATGTTCGTAATAATAACCGGCTGTGCACAATTTTCCTTTCATAATTCATCGTGGGAATGTTTTATATATTTGTAAGATATAAGTACATGTTTTATATGTATGTATAAACCCACAACTCTATGTGTAAAAAGTATAGTTGYATAAAGAATTAATTCTGTGTTCTAAGTAAAAGTGGTGTAATGTTCTCTTTCCTCCAAAGCACCTTTAGCTTCATTCTGAAGAGTAAYGTGGTGGGATGGGGCAGAGSTGGGGATTTTACAGTGGATGTCCTGCCCATGAAAACCTGCACCAAGGCTGRGGGTTGCTGTGCTTGGCTCTAAGGTTCAGCCTGGTGGAAGAGGACAAGTCCTGTGAGTGGCAGTGCTGTGACACCCACGTGCTGACACCTTGCCAGCCCACGCAGGAGCGCAGTGTGCACGCTCTGATTCTCGCAGGTGATTGACAACGCCTGCAGTTCTAAGGAACTGCTTCTGGTTTGTACAATGATACAAATCATCTTCAAACCAAACCGCACATCAGACTGGCAYGTAAGATCATAAATCCAATAATCCATTTGTAACAACAAAAGCAAAACCATAAATGTTATTAGTCTGACGTATTAGCCTAATTATGTTTCACAGAACACTAATTGAAACTCCTCYGAAGCAGATTTTCACTTTCTCCCTGCTTTCTGCATCTGCTTTAAGGAAAACAGACCTTACAGTGTTCTTCCCTAATTGCACATTAAGGCCTTTGCTGTTCAATCCTTAATCAAGCCTCTAAGTAAATCTCTGCTGAAGTCAGGAACAGCTCTTAAAAAAAAAAAAAAAAAAAAAAAAAAAAAAAAAAAAAAAAAAAAAAAAAAAACAAAAACAAAAAAAACCCACAAACCAAAAACACAAAAAAAACCCCAAAAAAACAACAAGGCAACCACAACAATCTTGGATAAAGACTGCAGATCTGTCTCATAATACAAACTAGCTAGAGCAGTTAGACTGTGGCCACAGGTAACAACACCTTGCAACTCTTTTTTAAACAGGAGTTAAAACGGTGCCACAGTCCAGCTTCAATGTCTCACMATTAACCACTTCTAGCATATCACTATTTAGTGTTTTAGAGTTCTAAAAAGACTTCACTTTCAGAAAACACCAAGTGGTGACACTCACCTGCCAGGCCAAAAAGAAGTGATTTTTGTGCATGTATGTGTACGACTSGAAAATGCAACGACTGAATAGCATTCCCAGCTTCTGAGACATGTCTGAACCTTTCTCTAGAGGAAGATGGTGAAATTAACAGGGCGCTAGAGAGGTTAGACCTGAAAGCCACTGTTCAGCTCAACCAACACCAGTGAAACTGTCAGGAACCAAGAACAGGCAGGATACACCTGTTGCTTTACACAGCTCTGCACACTCTTTATTCTCAATGTGTCACCCAAGACAGGGACATACCATGATGATAAGAAGTAGTGACCTGGAGAGCTGACCAACACAGTATGTACCATCCTAAGAAAAGGCAGCAATTAGCGTTAGAGGGGTTTCAGGCTTTTTACTGACTGACTCCCTTAGGGGTTGCAAATTTCCAGCAAGTCAGAGAACTGTGGAGTCCATGTGGTTTGSRTGGGAAGGAACCTTCAAAGATCATCTAGTCCACTGGGTCAGCAAGAATGGGAGGCTATGACTATGTCAAGAATCTGGTTTTCCTTGATGGGTGATGCTCATTACCTCCTTCCCTATTTCTCCTCAAATTCTATAATCAAAAATAATTTTTTGTATGCAATCAGTGACAGGTCCCTTTGAACATTTTATGAGAGCTATAAACAGAAAATRTTGTTTACCAATAACATCCTTCTCTGCACATTAGGAATTAGCAAAACAAACAAGCCAGTACATAAATGTAACCAAGGCTGTCTACTCAGATGGATCCAGTTCTTAATCCCAGGCTCTAGGGACTCCAGCAAGGAACATTTTCTCATCTTAACCTCTAACCAGGACAGGAAATTCTCTTGCCCTCTAATTTGTTTCCAAGTCTCAGTGTTGTAAAACCGACCGTTTTAAACTCTGTGGAAAAAGTTTAAATTTTCCACAGGATCAGGATCACACTACTGCTTTCCCTTCAGCTCCATGTTACCCTTGAACAAGGCAGCACACTTACGGGATTCTCAGAGGAATCTCTTCTTCTGTCTTGAAACGTCCAGTCCAGAGCAGGATTTTTTTGTCAAAGTTCGAAGGTTTGTAACTTGCAACCACTCTGTGAGCCTGCTCAGCTTAAAGATTAGGAAAAAAAAAACCCTTTGTAAACCGTGATTTACGGGTGAATTATGACTGATAGTAACGGGAGGAAGGGAAAACCCCTGCCCATCCTGGTCTGGAAGAGCAATTTAGGGATTCGCCCTCCAAGTTTCGGCTGCGCGGTGTCTGGAATACCCCCGGAYGCAGCGAGCGTTCCTGCGGGTCCGGTTCCACCTCCCCACCGCCCTCGGGTGTGGGTACCCAAGCCAGCAGGAGAGCTGTCGGGACCCCCGAGCTGCGGAGCCGCCGTCGGGCCGCCGCACCGAGCATCCCAGCCCCTCTCCATTGCGGTCCCGACCCCGTCCCGCCGCTCCCTTCCCACCCCTCGGMGGGCAGCCCCTTACCGCGGCTGCTGCCCGGGCTCCGGGCGGGCTCCCCGCCGGCAGCGGCTCCCCGGGGCGCGGGCGGGCGGAGCGGAGCGGCGGACAGCAGCCGTCCCGGGCGGAGGAGCGCCGGCAGCATGGCGAGGGGGGCGAGGATGGCGAGGAGCGGCGGGACCCTCTGCCGCGGAGAGACCTTCTACTCCGGCAGCACCCTCTGCCTCGGAGACACCTTCTACTCCGGCAGGACCCTCTGCCTCGGAGAGACCTTCTACTCCAGCCGGAGCCTCTGGCTTGGTCGGACCCTCTGCCGCAGCGGGAGCGGCCCCGGCCCCACCCCGCCCTGCCCCGCCCCGCTGGACCCTTCCAGCCGCGCTCGGGCGAGAGGCGAGGCGAGGCGGGACGGCCGCAGGCGCCCGACGGGGAGCTGTCCTCCGGAAAAGGCATCCCACTCACCTACCGCACTCACGGATTGCAACTCTAGTGCGGGCAGGTCGGTGTCCAAGACAAAACTCGGCTAAAGGAACAGACGCKGTAGTTCAGCTTCATGTTAGGACGTGGACCTGCTGGAGCGAGTCCTGAGCAGGGCAGCAAAGATGACCCGAGGGCTGGCGCACCTCTTCCTTCAAGACAAGGTGAGAGAGCTGGGGCTGTTCAGCCTGRAGAAGAGAAGGTCCCAGGGAGACCTTASAGCACCTTCCAGGGTCTAAAGGGGRCCCACAAGARTAACKCTTTTACAAGGGATGTAGTGATTCCTATACCCCTCTTACAAGGAGTAGCAGCTTTTAACTGAGTCAGGATGGGTTTACATTAGGAAGAAATTCTTTYCCATYARGTTGGTGAGACACTGGYRCAGGTTGCTCAGAGAAGTGGATGCCTGGAAGATTGGATGGGGCTTTGAGCAACTGGTCTRGTGGAAGGTGTCTCTGGCCATGGCAACTAGATGATCTTTARGGTCCCTTCCAACACAAACCATTTTATGATTCTGCGCAGAGTATAAGTTCTGTGACAAAGACCTTCCCACATCCATGTTTCTGTTATTTAACAGAATAAGTTAAAGAAGGGTTAAACATACTGATTCTCATCATATGCTTTTACATTTTCTTCAGTTGAAAAGTTTTTTGGTTTTTCCTTTCACATCCTGGACACAGTAAGATTTTATTGAAAAACAAAACAAAACAAATGCTTGAAAAAAATATTCAGAAAAGCACGGCACAGAAAATATTCAGCACAGAATACATATTTACAAAGTAACAGCCTGTGTCAGCATGATATTCATGACAGTCTCAACTGAATTGTGTCTGATGCACCACGCAGTGGAAGATTTTACATGCTTCACCAAAGCCAGAATGGCTGCCGATGAGCAGAGGAAGTCTTGCTCCCCAGGGAAGGATCATCCATGGAACAGTTTAAATCCTGAACTCAGTGCGACGGCACATAGGAGGAGTTTTGAACAGTTTTTAGCCAAAACCTCCAGCTCTCTTCTTTTCAGAAGGAGAGCATATAACAAAAGGGAAGAGATGCACCTCTTCACTCTCTCTCACACACTCTGTGCTCTCTTTCAGATTGTTGTCAAGGTGATGAAGACACATCGATAGAAATTACCTAGAGGTAAAGTATCACCTTTGCTCAAAGAGAGTGGCATGGTGTCAAGCAGGGCTCCTTGTCCCTGAAGACATGGCTGGGAAGGGTAGAAAGAGTCAGCACATCTGGGCTGGGCTGCTCAGCATCATGCATTGTTATGAGCAGCATCCCAAACACYGYTATTAGCTGCCGCTCAYSATGGTCACCCACACATTTAGGGTTYCTGTAGTTCCAGTGGCCATCAGCAGAGCTGCTRGGAGGAAACCTGGAGTTCATGTAGTTTCCAGCCAAAGAACTGTTCTAAAGATTGTGGGCAGTTGAGAGTCATCTACACAGCCAGAGCTACTGAAATCTTGAGGAAATCATGCCCTGGAGGCCTTCAAACACTTGGTGGCCTTCATAGCCTTCATTGCACATGAGGATATTGTACATTGTATGATAGTGGCTGCAGATGCATCATTTAGCATTATTAAAATGACTGATATAAGCTCCAAAAAGGTTAAATAATGTATACATCCAGATTAGCCTCCTTTCTGTCCTCAACAAACTGCATTTTCCTATTTGATTTCTCCATGCACAGCACTGTATTTGGAGAAATTTGTTCTCTCTATTGCTCTCAGAAATGGAAAATGTGCCTGTGATATGTTAGTGTTTTGAGAATTGGTTTCAGGATCTTTCCAAAGTAAGCAAGAAGAGTGTGCTCTGAGCCAGAAAAAAAGAGCTGGTCCCTTTGGCCTCACATGGCCTGACCTATAGGCCACAGCTCTGGGAGCACCAGGATAAGACTTTGCTATGACTCTGGAAGGTGTTTCCTGTTCTGTGCTCTGGGGATGAAAATCTGTTTCAGGCTCCTCTAATGGCCCCACGGCTGGTAATGGAAACAGATTGCTGGAATGCTTACTGCTCTGGGCAGGTGAATGTGCACAAATGCTCCTTTAGAATAATGAACTCCTAATTTAAGCTTTTCCATATGCCCTGTATAGGGCAGCACAATCCCTTCTGTTCTACCTACATACAACCACTTGCTTCTTGCAGACAAGGCATTTAAAATGTAACACATCTTGGTAAAATGTTTCTTTTTTGCTGCCAAGTCGTGCTTGCAAATCTGTTACATCCGCTGCGCTCCACCATTGATTATTCTTTGCACAGAAAGAGTAACCAGAGAATTAGATGTAGTACATAGGACTCCTTTGAAATTCTGCCATATGTGATGTCTTTCCTTAAAAATACCTCAGGAGAGACCTTCACTGTGCTGTCACCAGGCCCTAAGACACTTTCCTGATTGTCCTGCAGGAAGAATGTCCTACCACACACAGCTTTCAGTCTAAAGGATGTTTCCAAGAAGCAGACTGAGGTCTGCAGTGGAAACACCTTACAGATATGTGCATTGCTGGTGTTCAAGGCTTCTGTTTAAGGAAATTAAGTAAGCAAACTCGGTTTTAAATAACAATATGGCTTTAATCATTCCTTCTCATATAGCTTCAAGGCATGCTACACTCAACACTTTTGAAAACAGTAAATACAGGTATGACATTTGAGCCAAATTAGCTTTTCCAACCATCTGATTGCTGACAGTCGTGCAATGTACACTTCACTTCTCTCTTTTAGGAAGAGACTTCTTGGTGTGTTGGCAGGAAAACTGTRGGCATTTTAACCTCATTGTACATAACCTCATATGCAGAAAAGTACTTGCAGCAACTGAAGTATAAACAACATTCAACATATAAATACATACATATATAACACTTCATTCCTCCAATCAGCAACAGAACATAGGTAATTACAGAAGTCCATATGTGAATTGCACTCTTGCCATTCAAATGACTTTCAAATATCTTCACAGGTACTCAATATCAAGGATTTTAGTATTATTTCACAGTAACATGGCACAGAACTTAAAACAGCAAAGTTTCTATGCTCTGGGCTTTATGAACATGGAAAAGTATTTTCCTGTTCCTTTACTGACAACGTAGCTCTGCTGTTTAGGATCTGAAAAAGCTGGGTGGTACTGCTACCCTGACAGGAAAATTCCTCCTCTGAACGTGCCCTTTGCCTCTCATACAGAAGGCACAGCACAGATGTGCTCGTGGAGCTTCAGAGCACAGACTCATTCAGGGCAGATCATGCCAGGTCTTCCTTGTGCTATTTCTGTGTATTGTGATGATGCATTGTCATGTTCTTAYTGAAAATCACATTTTTTTTAATATTTATCAAACCCCCTAAATTTTCCAGGATGCACTCATGCAGATACTGGTCATTACATTATTTATGCTAATGAGAGGAATCAATTAAGTTTTGACATTACACATTGACTTTATGCTCTCAAGTAAGAGGACACCTGGGGCTCATTCTCCTTGTGCATCAGAGGAGGTTCATGAGGTGAATCAGTGTGTTTCTTCTGARTATGGGGAAAAAAGGCAGATGAACATATGTGTAACTGCAGAACTCCAGAAAAATTCTCCAATTTTTAATACATCTGTCTCTAGTTCACTACCATGCTGGTAAACACAAGGAATCTTAATGGTTACTACAGCACTGTCTGGAATAAGGTGTGCAATTTTAGGGAGGAAAAAAAAGATTCACTGATACCAGATGAAAAGAGCTACTTTTGGAAGTTCAGAAGAATGAAAAGCCTATCTTAAAAGTGGAGACTAAGAGACTGTTGTTTATCTTGGCAAACAAAGGCTGGGACAAGGTTTTCTTTGATCTGTAAAATGGGGCCAGATGAGAAGAAGAGCTCCTTAAACAACTGGGCATCAAAGAGGCAAGAGAAGTGGAGAAACTCGTGTGGTCCCACTAACATGACTGAGAGAAATAATAAYTTTGTGGTGTTTCTGCCTCACTTGAGGAAGGGATGTTGCAGAAGAGGTTCCCAAAATCTGTGCGGGCRGGCTGGGGAAGGAAGGGAGCTGCTGAAGGGACTGCACATCACGGGGCTTGCAGGGGCAAGGGATGGACTCTGTGAGCCAGGAAAGCCTTTCAGATCTGGTATTGGATAACTGCCTGAGTACAGGAGAGAAGGTGGTTTCACATGGCCTGCTCTCCTCGGGGATACCAAAAGCAAAGAAATCTGAAAGAGAAATGGCTCCCTAGAATGGCTTTTTATCTTCCAGTAGTTTAACTCTGGCCAGTCATATGCTGGAGACTCTTTTTCTGACCACAGTCCTTGCAGAATTTTTAGGAAGAAYTTTATCTTTTATTAGTGGCTGCCCAGGCACTTGGAAATGGCAGTTTCCATTCACAGAGTTCTCAGTTTTACACGAGTCTGTGACAGTAGCTCGGAGGCTGGAAGATTTTGAATCCAAAGAAACCTGACTGACAGCAACACTGCCTGCACTCTTAGAAGAGTAAGTGTAAACCATTTTGAGAAAGGCAGATTTTGTGTTTGTTTCTTGCTTGTAAATGATGATATAGCATTTTGGAAGGAAAGTGCAGCAGAGGATTCCATAATTGGATATTAAAACTACGATGATTTCCACTGCTGGCAAGTAYTTGCCAAATGTAGTCGCATAGACAGGGATGAACACAATCCATGCTATAAAGTAGATGAGCATGCCAAAAGTGATGAATTTAGCTTCATTGTAGTTCTCTGGCAACTTCCTACCTTTAAAGGCAAATATAAAGCAAATAAAGGCTAGGGCAGCGATGTAGCCCAACATAATCCCAAAAGCTACAATAGATCCCTCATTGCACTCCAGAATTATTGAC